AACGTAATACCGGCGCATGACAAAAAATGGGTTTGTTCATAACTGTAATTGCATTAATTGTTTGTTGCTTGTAAAGTTGCATTTGTTTTTTATGTTATATTTTGTTTAACTGTTATTAGAGGAATTAAAGATGCAAAGTATTTTGTACTCTTTATTGTTCTTCTGCAACGTACATGTAACATATTCCACCAGTGCTCGAATATATTGGCCACCCTCGTCACATGCGCCGGCATTACGGATAGACGTCTGCCTGACCGGTTGTCATTGTCTACCGACACTCACCTTCTACAGAGTGTTTGTGCCATTTAACAACTAGCCTTCGTGACACTGAACTTGTCCAGCTTGCCCTTTTAAGTTCTTTGTAGGTATCTGTTGGTGTTTGACCAATATTTGCATAAAATTTAATGATCGTCCGTATTTCCAGACGATTAGTGACTGACATTTGCACGTAATTTCAGTATTGACGACCATACTCAAATGTTTGTTTACAACCATTACAATAAAGCAAGTGACGTTATATTTTCTAGAGACTTTAGGAATATGTACATACACTTTTTCCTGAATTTTGACGTATATATGTAGTGTTTAAAGAATACCGTGATGCATCAAAGTAATGAACTAACCCAATTTTTTGTTGTGCGCCGGTAGTCCGTTATTAAAGTAACTGTATGACGATTCGTTTTAACGACATGCCGGTTACACGTTTTTTTCTTTTTTTTTTCTTATTTGAGACAGATTTATCTTTCAAGTGATATATAATTCATGTTTTTCTATCAATAACTCTCACAACAATAACTGCAGTGCACGAAATTTTTGGACAACCCTCGTATCTTGTGAATCAGCCAAATGCGGATCCAAATTTTGTTGATACAAGTATCTTTATGTTTCTTTTTATTGAAAATGTTTGGATTTACTTTCACAATTTTGAGTATCATTAACTGTATCAGGTCACTTAGATTAATTAAATATACTGTAAAATCATTATTATTCATGGGACACCAATTTTCCTGATTTTCGTGGGTAGGCTAATCCATGAATTTCAGATTCAACAAATTTCATTTTGTTGGCTTTAAAATCATTTACAATGTTTGCAATTTTTATGAAAAAATAGACAATCTTCGAATTTAAGAAACTGCGAAAGTATCTCGAGACAAAACCACGAAACTCCATGTCCGCGAAATTAAATGAATTCACAGTACAATATCATTTACTAATAGATGATAAGGAAGTGTAAAGATGTGAAACTGCCATTGTGTACTTAAGTCTTATCAATATGTCTTTGTTCATGTAGTTGTATACTTGGAATTGATTTCTCGATAATTGATGACGGGAATGTGTAAATGTATGTACATGGTCAGATGTACATGGTCAGTTACTCACGGTATTATATTCTGTTAATACTACATTATAATGTAGTTTGTACAGAATATACATACCATAAAATTCCTATTAAACGCCCCCTGGGGCTAAACATTTTCCAAAAGAGGGGCTATTATTACAACACAGTTTTTTCTAAATCCAAAAATCACTGTAAATACATTTAGTGTTAGCAAGTGTTGGTAATAACATTAAAAAGTGTTAAGGTTTCATATTTCATATTTTACATATTTGTGTTTACTATAAAATAAAATGGATGGCTTTAATTATAAGTTCAGCACTGATGAGTAGATTGTTTTCCTTATCAAAAAGCCTGGGGGCCTTTATTAGGGGAGGGGCGTTTATTAGGAATTTTACGGTATATACCATGTGTAACGGAGAATGATGTATGTAGTGATTCCATTTAGTTTTGTCTGGTTGTTGCAAGTATGTTTATCATATGTGTTTAGATTATGTTATTTGCATTGAAAGAAGTTTAGTCTCCACAATTGAATCATGGAAAGAAATTTGTTTGTAGAAGTTGTAGTTCACTTGTGGAGACAGTGTCGAAATATGTGAAAAGATAAATGTGGCTATATGTACTTAATATAGACATCTTCCTTTATTTTGGTTATCACCTCGCTTATTTGTTAATATGTATTAGGGAAAATTATTGAAAATGTTATGTGAAAAGTTAACTTGTTCATTTTTTCTTGACATCATTAGAGAAGCATGCATGATGAAATTTAATCATATATGACTTTTTTGAAAGATCTAAATAGGGAATTACTAATTAAATCGACTGATTAATTTTTCTTTGGCAGAATTCCTTAATTTGAGTTTCAGTCATCGAATTTAGCACTGAAAAGAAAATTTAGTTAAATATATAGTAGGATAAATTCAAAACTGGAATTCGGGCTTGTAAATTCAAAATCTTAAATTCATTGACTGGAGTTTAAAATATATTAGAATAATCTATACAGACAAGAGGCAAGAACAGTTTGAACTTGGAGTCTTATTAGAGTGCTGATAAAGTTGTGCTTCCTTTTTCCTGACTGCAAAACCAATTGTGACTCTTTAATCAGTTGACATTCAGTATAATCAGGGTCGAAAGTATTGTCAGATACTGTGGAATCTGGTACATATATGTGTGTCAGCTAATAATAATTTTAGTGGTACTTTTATGTGTCTCAGTTTGACATAAAGTAATACATAAGCCCAAAAATGTACCCATATACAATGTTATTATGTGCTTATAGGCAAGCCCTGCCTGCTTTATTTTTTCGATATATTTGAAAACAAAAATGAGAATGAAAGCAAAAGTCAATCTTATTTTGTTGATCTAACCTGAACATCATTTGATTTCTTAAATGCTACAGATTGTCAAATTTTATCACATGATTTTGGTTTAATCTTTTGAACATATATGACACCATAATCAAACTATTAGATATATTTAAAATATTTTTAACTTTCCCACCAAAATTCCTGTATGCTTTACACTTTATGCATATCAATTTTTGAGCTATTTTTAACTTAAACACTAATCTTGTGCTATTTATAACTTTGGGACACTAGTGCTATTTATAACTTACTCACATTCAGCATATTGTTATGTAAATTTATTGATTTTTAGTTGTTAATGTTGTGTTATTTTTTTTCTACATAATTATTAGAATTCTGGTTATCATGATATAAATAAAAAAATCTATGCAATCAGAATTATCTCTTGCTTGTGTTTTTTTTTAGTCCCAAACTATTTATTTCCCTGTCATTCTGGCGATTACTTGAATTTTAGACTCATTTTGGCACAAAATATTTATTATATAAAAAAACAAGGTATGGCCTTTTCACAGTGTATTAAAACCACCAGGATATTCTACATCGTAAACACCTTAGCTTTAAGGCAATATTTCAGAAAATGTGTTTCAAATGTGATTTCTTATATAAGTTTGCAAAATAGGTGACCCTTGAGACATAATTTAAATTACTTCTGTAGAGGTCTGCTAGTTGATGAAACATGCATAATATCTAAGCTCAAGGCCACTAAGTTGTTTCATACAATATTATTGTGTCATCTGCTACAGTAGTGGCCACATATATGGATCACTTCTCTGTCATCTCTGTTTGTCTGTTCGCACAACCAAATAGGGATAGGGGGTCATCTAACGGTAAACAGAACAATAGAGTTCATTCCGTAACAGGAGCATTAGGAGACAATGGCCTCTATTAATAAAAAAAAACAACAGTAATGGCCCCTTATCCCAATTTGGCCACATGTCTGTCCATCCCAAAATTTGGACTACTCAAAATCTACATGTGCAATTTCATCTAAACTTTACAGGAATGATCAATGTAAGTGTATATAAGTTTATTTATACTTGCCACTGGTTGCCCATAATTATGGAGGAGTCCTCCAGATGAGTATTAGTCACTTAAGATTTTTGGAGGATAGTGCAAGGAATGATCAGTACCAAGTCTAGTTGTGCATGTTATCAGCATTTTACAGTTTTGACATGTTACAAAGTAGCCTCAACATACAGGGAACAAACCATCCTATCACCACTCAATACTACTGCTTAATTGTCTATCAGGTGACACATGTGATCACAGATAATTCTTTTTAAGTCTATGTTATCTAATTGACCACCAGGGCTGGGCAAGTTTTGACCTTGGTTTATATACACATGAGGAGGAGCACAAAATGTAACTACATACAAAATATCTTTGATTTTGCAATTGCAGGTTCTGGGATTTTTAAAACCTGTTTGTTACACAAGTTCCTAAAAAATTGTTCCTTAGGTTGAGGTCCACTTTGACATTATTTATATAACTTTTGTCAAGGTGTTCTAGGCAATAGCTTGGTGGCTTGGTCTAATATCTTTACATTACTTTTGTCAAAAGTGTTCTAGGCAATAGCTCAGTGACTTGGTGGAAAATATCTAATATCTTAACAGTTTTGCAGTTTCACATTTTGCAGTTTCACATTTTTCAGTTTTTCATAAATACATCTAGGTAAATAAAGTTATACTCAAGGAAGGTCTAACCATGGGCCATAATGTTGCACGTCTCCAGATGAGCAAAACTATTTCAAGAAAATCAAACGTGAAAAAATGTATTTAGATTTTAAGAAAAGTAAAAAGATTCAAGATTCAATTTATGATTACATGTTATGTGCAATTAATGATTATGCAGTATTAATCACCACAACTCTGCTGTACTACTAACGCAGTGAAGGGTATTTTTGCATAGTTTGACCTCTTTGGTAATTTACGTGGATTGTAAATGCCATTTGCAATGTGTAAATTTCTTTCTTTGTTCACTTCACAATATTTTATTTTTAAATTCTTTTTCAAAACTTTCATGAAAACTATCTTGAATCTGGAGTCATGCTGCTTTAATTTATATAACTTAGTAATGGGCTACACAGGAAATAATAAGTACATCTGAACAATACTTTCAAAGAGGATTTTGGCATTGTTGACACTGCATTCTTAAAGCAATCTTACCCAACTAATAGCCAATCCTAAACACATATATGATCCTGGTGCACTAAAATGTAAAGCAGGCAAGACTTTTATGTACAAAGTCTGTATATGTATGTGAAATATGGGGTTTTGTACTTGTAAAACAACAAAACAAGACTTCGTACATATATTTTAATGACTAAAAATAAATTAACATGTTAAAAACTCTCAAAATGTACATGAGTATCTTAATAATACAGATTAGAAATGAGAATTTTCTTCTACAAACAAATTTCAGCATAATTCAAATACAAATTACATTGAATTGGCAATTGTATTTGTTAGACAATCAGAGCTCACTACACCTTTAGCTAAAATGTTAGTAATTTGGCAATAAAAAATATGATTTGGCAACATGATATCTAGATATCTTTACCATGTTATACTTTTTTGATGAAACTTTGTATGAAATCATATATGTATGAATTTCAACCAGGGTGAATCCTGGAAGTTGGACACTTGAAAAACTTGATACTTTGTAGAAAGGTAGTGAGTAAAGTAAATTAAAATGTAAAATCAGTAAAGATAAGATATGTACATACATAGATTCAGATGAATGTTTATAAAAAAACAAATGGCACATAAAAATGTAAGTTTGATCAAAACAAGCATAATTTATGACTGAAGCACTATTCTTAATAAAAAAAATGTAATTCATCTTCAATATTGCTACAAGTTTTACATATATAGAAATATCATATAAACATCTTGTGATCAATAACGTTCTTCAGGAAAAAGACCCATTTTCTTGCAAACAGACAATACAAGTTTAGGAAAATAAAAAATCTCTTAATCCACTTATTTTTTAAATGGATTTGCTTAGCTTGGAATTTTGCAACTTCCAATTCAAGGTTTCTGGAGTTTTAACATCAAAATACGAAAACGATGTTACCAACCATAAAGAGATTGGCCAGACTGTACGGAAGTGCATGCTGGTCTAGCTCTATAAACGTGACAACGGCTTATCATTTTCAGTTTCATTTCGTGAAGACAAATTCATACTGTAATATCTGCTCATTCAAGGTAAAGATATAAATAAACTGATAAGATGGGAAATACATGTAGCATGGGACTCCGTATTATCGGCGTACTTAACTTTTCCTATATGTCTGCATTGAATTTCATTGATGAATTTAATAATCGATATGTTGTGTAAAGCAGTACAAATTCAACTAATCATTACATTTTTTATTGAATGAGGTCAAAGATTTTTAATTTCAATGTATACATGACCGCACATGACAAAATACTGAGAGTACGTCGATAATAGAGTTGCGCCGATAATACCGAGTTAGAGTATAAATAGAATGTGAAAAATAATGATATTGAAAAAAAAAATAATACTTCAATAAATAATAAAAATTTGGAAGTAAAATACAGTTGCAATTCAAACAGTCCTTTCAAGCAATCTTTATATTCAAACATCAAAACTTACGACCAAATGCTTCATAACAATATCAAAACACTTAAAAGTTCCCAATCTTTTAACCCTCAACTACTAAATTTTTGTTAAAAAGTTTTCAATGTGTAAGGGATTTCAATAAAAACAAAAATAGAGCTATTAACGATATACCTGTAGTTTCAGTAATATGATTCAGTCTTATAATAATCTTTTTTAAGCAAAAAATCTTGACCAATGTATTGGTGTGACTTATAATGTGATCAAAAATATTAAGAAAAAATACTTCAGCTGATAAAAAAAATATATTAGAAACTCTTTAATAAACATATGTTTTTTTATACAAAACATTTTACAAAAAAAAAAAAATACTTTAAAAATTAGCAGAATGGGAAAATAAGTTAATCTCATAAAAATACTTCAATCATTGGAAAGGTGCATCTGTTAAAAAATATTAACAACAAAGTGACAACAAAATGTAACTTTCACACAACCTTAGTATTTATCAATGAGAAAAAATTACCCATGAAAGGTTTTTCTATAACTTTAAATTATATCACCATGACCAATGTAGCTAATGAAGGATTTCTGTTACTGAAAAATTACACAAGTAAGCCAAAAACACTGAAAATTAAAGTCAATATGACAAAAAATGTTTACATTCACAGCTAAAAATTACAACCAACATAGTTTCTGTACAACAGACATTAACAGCTTCAAAACAAAAACATTTTTCTTCTTCAAGACTGTCTGTAAAACCACACAAAATCCATCTTCCTAAACACCCTTTACAACATCAAGTAACAACAAATCTATAAACAGCACCTCCAAGTGCAATGAAAAGTCTTCCTCGCAAAAGTTTCCATTACTTTCATTTGGTTTTAGCTTTTTCCCTATCAGCGATGTCTATATTTGCTATATTTGACATTGCAGCCCCAAGCTGTATCAAACTTATTCCCGTCTTGATGAAGGACAATGGTGCACACACATACAGTATCAGCTTCCACAGGCCGAGCCCAAACAAAACTGAAACAAATAAACAAAAGTATGTGATACATTATGCATACAAGCAAACACTGACCTTACTTCATTATATTGGGAATTAAGCAATGACAGAATATGGGGGAAATGTGTTGGAAATAAACTAAATTTTTTAATTTTGTAATAGTGATGGAAAATATAACTTTATAATACAAACACAAGAACATTTAAAAAGAGGTTAAAAACTTACTGGTTGGTCCCTGTGTGAAGTAACAAAGATACAGCATACAGAAGAATAATTCATTGGCTGAACACATCACAAACAAGATGATCTGAAAATTATATGTTAAAATTATGCTAATGAAACTTAGGCAAATACTCATGAAACCTTCCTGTGCTTTTAACAAGACTGCAAAGCCTCTCCCATCAGTTTGAAGTAAAACCAGTGTATACAATTATGCCCCCTGATCAAGCTCTATACTGTTAAATGTTGGTACAGCACTACTATTGGCTGCCCAACTTTAAATGTTTCATCATATTAAGAAATAACACAAATGGATGCTCCTTAATTCTACTTTGACAAGGATATTTTTTTCCTTAACCAAGAGCATGGGTAGAAAAATCAATCTTTCTTTTTTACCCAAGAGATTTTGACTTTTACCTTATCACCTTCATCTTAATCCAATTGTACAGGTTCATGTAAAGCCACATGATTGTATTTACATATCAAATACAAAGGCTTTTATTTAATAAATGAAGGGGCTATGAAAAACAGCAAGGCAAGTATGTTAGAGGATGTAAGGATGTATAACTCTATGATAATTTTATAAGTGTATTTGCTCACCTAAGAAATATTTATTGGGGAGCAAAAACAGTTTTTTATTTTAACAAAATAGAATGGGGAGCAAAAACAGTTTTTTTATTTTAACAAAATAGATTTTAATAAAATAGATATTTGTAATTGTATTGTATATAACAAGAATATGATTGTTGGTTGACATGGTAACATACCTTGTTGTGATAGTAATGTCGGAGAACTGGATTAGCTGACAAATCCAGAACTTTATGGCTGCCACCACCTGTCATCAGTGTGCTGAAAAAGTTTTTTATTAGATTGTTTTTTTGGTTCAAACAAAAAATACATGTATTAAATTGTCCACCATTCTGCACTAACCATCAAACTATATTTTCATAGCGTAATTAATATAAATATATTTTTTTTCCAGTAATATTTTAAACCATACTGACACTAATTAAGGTCATTATGGAAACTGCACTTGTGGCGGAACTCCTCAGGTGGACTATTCCATGTAAAAACAGGTACCAGGATTGTGTCACAAACATTTTGTTAAGTAGCATCCTGAATTGCTTCCTTACATAAAAAATTTGATGGTCCTGGTAGGATTCAAACAAAAAAAAGGTGAATAGCATGCAGTTAAAAGTTAGAAATCTGAGAACTGGTTTGGCTGACAAATCCAGAACTATATTTCAGCAGTAACAGATGTCTGATGAATGTACAAATGTTATATCTGTAATACCTTTTATTATGATTGTTTTTCTGTATAAGTTTTGAGACGTTCCAAATTCTTATTTTGTTAAGGAAAAAGCAATAGATAATTATATCTTAAATTGCTATTGGAATAAAAACCAATGTGCCTCTGATCTTTAATGTTATGTGCAATAACATAACTGGATATTAACATAATCAGCAAAAATTATTTTTGATTTGGCATACACAATGTATTGGCATTTAATTATTTTGCTAATCATGAAAGTGGAATTGAGATTGATTAATAATACAATTTCAAAGCCTTCTTCACCAGGGAGCTTAAGTAGATCAGTTTTAAGCTAATATACCTCTGTATGTGGAACCAATGGCTAACAATATCAATGGCCATTGAAGCTTGGAAGAACAGCATATATTTTGGGTAGAAATGGCACAGTGCTGCACACAAACACATTGTAGTGGCCCGATCAATCAGCTGATCTAACATAGCACCTAATTTACTTCCTGAAAAAATACAACAAGTTTACCTGAATGGTTTTACTATAATTCAATGTATAATTATATAAAATAGTTTTTATCTTCCTATTTCGTTCCGAGTAACATTAATTTTACAACATATTTTGGCAATTGAAAATTACGTACAACTGTGACTAACACACTTCTTGACTCCTTCTTGTGGTCCGATTAACTGAGCTAATATAACACAACAAGGCCATAATGGCCCTACTTGGCTTACCTGAGATCAACAGTAGTTTACAGCAAGAAGATTTTTATGTGTTTTTTTCTATATCATTAAAGTAAACTAAATGACCCACAGGACAGGTTATATTTTGATGATCAAATGACACATTTATAATAACCTTAGGTATCCATAAGACAATCATTCACAGGTTAAATCAAATCAAAACTGGGTTAAAATGTGAATTCTAGAATGATTAAACCTAAATTGATCAAATTCTTCAAACTCAGTGGCCCAATATTAAACATGTCTAAAATATCACACAAAAAATATATTCTGGAAGAATGAACTAAAGCTGTTTGTACAAGGAAATATCTTAACACTATCTTAATTTAAGCGGAAATAATTCCAATGATAATTGTTACATACTTGTGTTTTTAGTCAATGAAGAGATTGACTGTTTCATAAGTAGTTTCCTGCCACTTATGTACTATCTTACTATAAAATGTATCTACCAGTAGGTATGCTAAATAGAACATTTATAATTGTAATCTGTTTTACATAATGAAAATGACCACGCCTTAGTGTATCATAAAACTTAAATATTGTTCAATTTAACCCTAAATCTGCTGAAATCTTATGTGATTAGCTTTTGCAACCAGTATAGAGCTGGGCCAGACTGACATTTACAAGTTTCTATACTGTTGGTAAAATGTTCAATTTATATACCAGTAATTTAATATTGTTATCCCTTAAACTTCAAATGGGATGATCCAAATTCAGAGTTGGGCAAAGTTGTTACACAAATGCAGCAACTTAAGTTACCTTGAATGCCTGTCCACTTAGCTCAAAAGGAAGAGCATCAGATTAAAAATCCAGGGGTAGTTGGTTTGATTTTCATATGAGGAGTAATTTCTCTATGAAAATTGATCTCTCACACAGATTTTTCTCTCCCTGCTGATTCAGATTTTATATGGGATTAGTAGTGTGTCCCTTGTTTTAATCATATATGTAAAAATTGTTTGAAAACCATTTTTATCATTGTAATAGATGTCCCATTCGTGTTTAAATATTAAAATAGTTTTGATAGAGTGTTTACAGGGACTTATCACGTTGGGGGACAGGATCTGATCCCCAAGCGTCTGTGGAGAAATTGGTAATTACTAGATAGTTATGAACTTATCCTGAAAAGTTGGTTAGGTTGATCGACCTTAAGGTATGACCAAAATATTTATTAAAATAAGCTTTAAAGTTCTGAATAGTTACCTTGATTAAGCATTCTTGCTAGATGTCCATCAACAGCATCTAAGAGCCCACTAACGATATACAGTATTGACGCCAGCCATGGGTCAGTTGGCATGTAATAGAAGGATGCAAAAGCAAACAACACTCGAAAGTAGTCTGAAACAAATATGAAAATGTTGAACATTAACTTGATATATATTAAGCAATTGTATTTCAGGTTAAAACGAATATGCATATTGTTGATTTCCACTTTTTAAGGCATTAAAACATTAATGAACCAGAAAGGATATACTTGTCACAACAGACCTCTTTTAAAGTTTTTTGTGTGTACTCATTTAAGTATAAAAGTGATTTTTTCCCTAAATAAGTGTTTAGTCGATGCTGTATTTGCTGAATGACATATCGGTTTACCTCTTGAAAAATGGTTTCTTCAGCCATTATAAATGAAAATAAGACTGATATTGATACGTCAGGGTGTTCACTAGCAATGAAATCCTGAGGGTCATTTTGACCAAGTTTTTCCAATTACAAGGTCAAATCCCCATGATTTTAACAAAATTTGACCCTTCAGTTATATTTTATGTACCGAAACTACTTCTCTTCATAGAAAATAATGGGTAATTACAGTACCCTATACTAGGCCTCATAACTAAAAGTTATTCTTTATTAATAACATATTAGAATGTCCATGATTTGTGTGACCACAGATCTTGATTACAATAAAATGTAATATATATCTGTGGAGGTGACGACCCGAATATCGATGCATAACAATCAATTTTTTAATGAGTGAGCGCATTTGAATAAAGTCTTGAAGTAGATCTAACTATGATTTCTGAACGAGACCTACTTGCATGCAAGTATATTATAGTAGAAGAATCTTAGTCTATTTGTAAGCAGCAGACATCTGTAAACTTAATAGGCACCTATTTTTCCTTGCAGTTCTTCATGTCATTTGTGCTTATAAAATGTATACTCAGTAAATTTAGTATTCCCTGCAATATTTTTTCACAATGCACTCAAAGTTGTTTGCAGTTCTACAGTATATCATCTACTGTACAGTATATGTTAAAAATATATGGTCTTAATTTAGACAAGATAAAAAAATAAAAATCAAATGTTATTTTTAAAAAATCCACATAAATTATACTTTACCAACAATATTTGGAATGAACAAAAACACATTTTCTGCCATGATTGCTGTTCTTCAATTTTGAGCACGATACTCTTTATATATGGCGTCAAGCCTTGAGAACGAGCACAAACGTGTTGGTTTTTACAACGTGGACTTTGCTATGAAAAGAAATGATATTATTGTTTACAAAATTGACTTCCGGGTTTTATGGTTTAGTAAAATACACAACGACTTCAATAGCCTAATTTGACTACAGTATGCCTAAAATGCGAAAGTGAGATTTTTGACGAAAGTGAGCGAAAGTGACTTTTAAAATAGTAATTATAACATTTTAATAGACTTTTAAAACAAACTTGCAGTTTGTAGACGTATATTATTAGAAAATAATTATATTTATTAACAGAATAATCATAATGATGATTTAATCGCTACTAATTTGCATAATTTCTATACACAAGTTCTTATATCTTCCTTTCGCTCACATTGAAAAATACAAAAGTGACTTATAAAATATTAAATATTCTGTTTTAATTGAAATTTTTACTAAAATTACAATTTGTAGATGTATATTATCAGAACTTGATGATACCTATTTTTTAAAATAATCATTATGATGATTTAATCGCTATTTATTTGCATTATTTTTAGACACAAGTTCAGATATCTTCCTTCGCTCAGATTGAAAAAATACGAAAGTGACTTAAAATATCAAATATAGCGATTAATTTGAATCTATATAATTATAAAAGATTGTAGACGTATAGTTTTGGAATTTGATAATATCTATTTTTAAAAATTATCATTATGATGATTTAATCGCCATTTATTTGCATAATTTCTATACACAAGTTCAGAAATCTTCCTTTCGCTCACATTGAAAAATACTAAAGTGACATATAAAATATTAAATATACTGGTTATTTTGATTTTTTACTAAAATTTCTCTAAGTAGATGTATACTATCAGAAATTGATAATATTCATTTTCAAAAATAATCATTATATATGATGATTTAATCGCTATTTATTTGCATAATTTCTATACACAACTACATAGATCTTCCTTTCGCTCACATTGAAAAATACGAAAGTGACTTATAAAACATTCAATATACCGTTTATTTTGAATTTATATTAATACAACAGTTTGTAGACGCATAGTTTCAGAAATGAATAAAAAATACTTAAAAATCATTATGAGGTTTTAATATTCATGCATTTTCATTATTTCTATATATATCAATTTCAGAGATCTTACTTTCGCTCACTTTCGTATTTTCAATGTTAGGGAGAGGAAGCGAAAGTGATTTTAAAAATATCAAATATAGCGTTTAAATTGCACTTAATATTAATAATGCAGTTTGTAGACGTATATTATCAAAACTAGTATCTTTAATCAATATGATTTGATCTTCATTTATAGCATAATATTTATACACAAGCTCAGACATTGATCTTCCTTTCGCTTACTGTGAGCCTGACGAAAGTGACTTACAGAATATCAAAATAGCGTTGAAATAGAATTTCATGATAATATTGCAGTTTGTAGACGTATATTATAAGCTATAGTAACTATCAGTTTTATAAAACTTAATATGTTAAGATGAAAAATGAAATTTATTATGTAAACTATAATTGGCAAACACATGAATTATACAATTTATGCGTAAGGGTTCCGATTTACAGTTCTCAATTTCTAACATCGTCTTTTTCGGGCAGTTTTTAATTTTTGATTAACGATGGTGTTACCTAACATTTAATATTCTGTTTATATATTATATTGTAATTATACTGTTTGATTCTAATCTAACAGTAATAGGTCTTGAATGTGTTTCTCATTATTATAACGTCTCTTGAAATTCTTAAATGGAATGGTCTTATGTAGGTTTTATGTGAATAGTTGTATTTATGTTTGAAAATGCATGTGTACGAATGAGACAAAATAAAGTATGAATATGTTTACATGCAAACACGTGTTGTCATATCATTTTCGCATCCACTTTAATTGATAGTACACACGACGGTGACCGCGTGACGCTTTAATCCCACTAAAGAATTATTATAATCCAATCATAGGTATGTAACTGATGACACTTGCCCGGTTATTTATTGAGTGGACTAACCTTTCTTCTGCACCACCATAGATATCTTGCACGGATTAAAGTGGCAGTTATTATGCTCATCCAGGTGTAGATGAGCAATGTACATGTTAATTTGAAAAATAATTTGGAATTTCCCATCATTGTTAAAATAATATTTCACAGTAAAAAAAGGAAATAAGTAATCCACGGAATTTTCTATAAATATCGTACTATATATATCGGTAAAGTTCAATCTTTTTAAAAGTTAGGATTTTTTTTTATATTTTGTGCTAGTCATTTTCACCATCAATTATAGGTCAATGACCATGAAAACATGAATAATAATGAAAATGACTCATTTATTTTTTTATTATAAAAAACATTAATATCGTAAATATTGACATTGACTTTCGTCCGATTAAGTCACTTTCATATTGTTCAATGTGGGCAAAAGTAAGATATCAGAACAGGTATACAGCAATTATGAAAATACATGGATATTAAATCATCATAATGATTATTTTTTTAATATGTTTTATTCATTTCTGAAAACATGCGTCTTTCAGCGCTATATTTGACATTTTTGAAGTCACTTTCGTATTTTTCAATGTGTGGGAAAGGAAGATCTGTTAACTTGTGTAATGCAAATAAAGGGCGGTTAAATCATCATAATGATTATTTTTAAAAATAAATATAATTGAATTCTGATATTGTACGTCTACAAATAAATTGCAATTTTATTAATGCATTCAATTTAAACAGTATATTTGATATTTTGTAAGCCACTTTCGTACTTTTCAATGCGAGCAAAAGGAAAATCTCTGTATATAACTTGTGTATAGAGATTATGCAAAATAAATGGCGATTTAATCATCATAATGATTATCTTTGAAAGTAAATATTATCATTTTCTGATATTATACGTCCACTTTGTGCAATAATAGTAAAAATAATTTCAATTTAAACGGTATATTTTATAAGTCACTTTCGTATTTTTCAATGTAAGCGAAAGGAAGATATAAGAATTTGTGTATATAAATTATGCAAAAAAAAAAAACCCGAATAAATCATCATTATGATAATTTTTCATAATAAATATAAGTAATTTCTAATAATATACGTCTACAAACTGCAATTTTATTGTAAAAGTCTATTAAAACGTTACAATTAATATTTTAAAAGTCACTTTCGCTCACTTTCGCTCACTTTCGCTCACTTTCGTCAAAAATCTCACTTTCGTATTTTAGGCAAACCCATTTGACTACGCGCTATTAGAACAGGTGAAGTGAAGTTATATGATCGTTTTCAGTCGGGCACACTTCCTGTAGCAGAGTTATATTTTTGCACGAATTTATATTACAATGTAATATACTGTAAATCCGTGATTTTTGTTACAGTATTATAAAACTTATAAGCTTTTTTGGTGTTTTATATTTTTAGGCTTGCATAACTTTTTGCTGCTTTTTTTTATTTTTGCTTTTTTTTTTTTTTGTCTTTTAGTAACGACTTTGCATTCAGATTCTCTTGATCTACCTCTCTCCTCATTATGTTCTCCATTTCTCTTATCAAGAGGAAACAATTATCATTTGGATGTCGCAGTCCTCCTCTTGATATTTTTGAAGTCCATTTGGAATATTTGACACTTGTGCGTTGACTACCTGATTTTGAACCCATTGTTTCTGTACATTTTATCTTCATTTCTCTTTTTTCAATATTTTTGATTTTAAGGTATTTCTTTTTTAAAGCTTTTGGCATATATATCCAGAAATGTAATAAAGAATTCCCTGATCATTTTCGCTGATTTCACTGTTCGTTGATGATTTTTCTTTCTCTAGTTCAGTTTTAAACTTAACTATGTGGTCTATTATCTCTAAAGTAAAAATATGAAAAAAATCCATCACTGCTTGCTTTGAAAAAGTAAGAATGCTACAAAGTTTCTCCTGAAATTCTTCGTTTAACCTTTAATCATGTAATTTTGTGTACATTTTCTCCCTATCTTGGCTTAATGATATATTTGAATCAGACACTACACTACACATCTCTGAGAAAAACAGTTCTTCCACATCCTTCCTTCTCTTTGTTGCTTGACATACACTTATGATATCTTTGTCCATTAGAGTCATTAGATCTTTCTTGGTACTCTCAACGCAAGATTGCATTCTGAAGCTGCAATACACATAAACAAGATTAAGAATTGTTTGAATTTACTTTTTATAAGGTGTAATATGACATAGATAGAATATGATTTAGATATTGTATTATTTTTTATATTTATTGTTAACACTGTTCAGGTGTGCTTGAAATTTTCTACTATTTATAATAATATGTACTTTGCATTTCAATATTTACAGATGCCACGAAAAGAAGGATGGCTCCGTGCTAAGAGAAAGACAGAAGAGCAGAGAGCTGTGCACGCAATTGGCAATTATGACCATGAGTACTGTTCATTACCAAAGATCCACTTCTGACTCAGAGTCTCATCTATTTGATCATGATTATTACATAAAAGAGTCTGTTGACCTCAATGATACATCTAAGCTTTTCTCTGTACATTCGCATGTTTATAGAAAGTCTGAAAATGGAGAAACTGATATGATATATGATGACACAGATGTTGCTGAAACTGTGGATATAACATTTGATCATTTTGAAAATATGTATCATGAACTTGTGATGGCGCCTCTCCAAACAGATTCTTTTTCAACTTGCAGTTGATGATCCAATTAACCCCCATGGCAACAGCATTCTTTTCAACATTCTTTTTATTAAAACTTTCAAAAACATAAATGTACATGTTGTTGTATTTAATTAATAAATATATAATTATTGAGCAGGCTGGCATGTTGGTGTTAGTATGATTTCGTAAATTTATTTACATAAATATTATTCTTTTATAATGTCTCGATTTCTTATTTTTCTATTCAAATATGGGTCCTTGACTAAAATACTACATGTTCAGCTTGTTTTATTGGCGATAATCGGTCATATTCCCAATTGAAAATAGTATATTATTTTCCCAATCCACAAGAAAAAAATCCTAATTGAAAGTATCAAAACATAAATATTGAATAATAAATTCTTAAATCTTTGAAAAATAGGGTGTCTTCACTATTTTAGAGCTTAAATGTTAAAAGATCCTACTAGGATTCCTAGACAG